ACTCACGCCGGGCGCGTGTGCGTGCGTGCCCAAGATCCCGAGAGGAGAATGGAGAAGGGATTGCGGCGTGACCATCCCCCCTGGGGGGTGATTTCTTGCTTTCTGTCTCTATGTCTCTCTCTGTCTGGCGAGCGCACGCGCCCTACAGTGAAAATCTCTCCAAAAAAAAAAAAAATTTCTTTGTAAAATGTTAAATTTATTTTATTATCTTTTCTAACCCTTTAAGAATCTAGCTTTAAATTCCATTTCTCAAAGTCAAACCTTCAAATAAACTTTATAATTCTTTTTTTCTTTTTTTAGGTTTTGCCAGAGTGCACATGCACTTGCCAGGAGACATGGTGAGAAATCAACTCCTGGGGAAAATGGCTATGCCACAGTCCCTTCTCCTCCATTCTTCTCTTGTGATTCTGGGTACGCAAACACACATGCCCAGTATGAGTTTTCAAGCTGCCAGGTCCAGAACTTAAGCTGTGGTTAGCCATGTCGGAGCCTAACACCTTAACCATCAGGACACCACCTGGTCCCATGATTCTACTTTTTAAAAGTATTAATATACTAAATTTTATTCCTCAGCAATATTAATATGTTAACATTTATTATAAATTAAAAAGAAAATGTTAGTAAACAGTTTTCTAGAAGTCACTTTAAAATCTAAAGCTCTTAAATGTGTGAAGTTTATATACTTATAATATTCAGAGATGCTCTTTTTTTTTTTCTTCTTTGATTCAAAATAGAACACAAAAGAAATCTCTCATTACCAAGTTGCCTTTTCTCCTTGTAGCTTTCTGACGAATTTTAAAGGATTTTTTCCTAAAATGTTCAGCTTGTTCGTATCTTTAAAAAAAAAAGAATAAATTAAACATATTCAAAGTATCCTACTTCAGTAAAATGAAAACCCTCCTTTCAAAGTGTAAAACCTTTTTCAGCTATTCAATACAGCATTATTCTAGAAGGAAGTCATAGAGAATTAAAAATCACAAAACAAAATATGATGAAAAAAATCTAATCCTCTAAGTAGCTGGTATTTAACTAGTTTAGCTCATTCTGAATCTCTGAGGGCAACTTAAGTAAATGAAAACCCCAAATTTTAGTTTATTATACCATCTTTTTCTGTATACATTTTTTTTTGCCAAATATAAATGTGAAGTTCACACAAAATCTGTATAAAATGGACTTCTTGAAGCTAAATGAAAAAAGTTTCAATAAGTATCACTTACAATGGTACAAAAAATAATTTCTGATAGAGGAAGAGATGCCATTAGGTGGGTACCTAATAGATAGACACTTCATTGTACCAGAGATTGACAAATTTTTCCATAAAGGACTAGATAATTAATTTTTCAGGGTTTATGAGTCATGTGGTCTCTGTCACGATCAAGGGATCTGTCAATGAAGCATGGTGGCAAGCACAGATAATCTAGAAATGAAAAAAATTTTGCTGTGTTCCAATAAATTCTTATTTACCCAACAGGGCCTGCTTGGCTTGTGAGCAATGGCTTGCTGGCCTGTATTAGTGAAGCACTCATTATTATAAAACTAATCATGAGCTAGATTCAAACCCAAGACTCCATGACTAAAATCCTAAATCTTTCATGCATCTCCAAATAGCGATGAAACTTGTACTTCTAATTTTCTCTGTTTACCACATGAAGACCCAGACCAACAAATATTATTTGAACGTGATGCATAAAATAAGGAAAAGAACACAGCCACAAAGAAAACCCTACCGCCACATAAGTACATTAAAAAACCATAACTCCCTTTCAAAAAATCAGAGTATTACTGATCTATCTCTTACTTATTTTGTTTCTGGTACAAAGTTGCAAGTGCCTCAAGCTCACGAGCAGTATGTGGATGGTCTGCACCATAAGCGTTTTCTGAAATTTCCAGTGCCTGTTTGTAGAGTTGTTCTGCATTGCCAAACTTCTTCCACTGCACATACACACTTGCTAGTTGGTGCAGTGACTGGGCTACTCTTGGGTGATCTGGATCTAAAGCTGTTTCTCGAATTTCTAGAGACCTCTGCAAAGGCACCACAGCCTGGGAGGGTAAAAAAGGAAAAGGCCAGTTAAAGTGAGTTAAATGATGTAAGACTTGTCATCTGACTGGATAGCAAAGATCTTAGCACGATAAATGAAAGCTGCGGAACTCCTTGGAAGAAGGAGAGAAGAGTAAACATGAAAAACCCACACTGTCTCAACTTCCCTGAGCAGTTACCTGACTAAGAAGGCCTAGATCCTTGAGAAATCGTCCCAGGGTTTCATAAAGATCAGCTAAACAAATCATGTCTTCCTCGCCGTCACAGTTTTTCTCATACTGCTTCAGTGAATCAAAGTATTCTGTTGCCATTGCACTTTTGTCTTTGCCGACAAACTGCCAATAACTCAGCAACTCAGCAAAGTGTCCTCTGTGTCAACAAATAATGGTAATTTCATAAACACAAACTTTAAAGTCTACTAAAGAATGAAAATGCCAGAATTCACGTCAAGTCACTGAATTTCTTAGTAGTCAGGTGTAGTACGGCTCAGACCGCCATCCCGCTGCCTCCTAGTTGTGCGATCTTGAGCAGAATGGGGACACCAAGACCATCTGCCTCGGTGCCAATATAAAGAGGTTATGGAGCATACTAGGTACTCCATAGTGCTGTTACTCATATGATCATAGTTACTCACCAAAGGCAACCTAAATGAATCCTTCTTATGAGAAGTTTCATGATACATAGTTAATGGCTGAGTTCACCCCCCAAAATTTTATTACATGATGGAAATTAGAACAGAGAAAAATTAATAAAAGACAGGTAAACAGTCATAGAGTATCTGTTTTGTATTCCTTAAATCAAGGAATTGTATGATAAAAATAAACTTATTTGCTTTTAGATGATATTAAGTAGAATGGGAAAGCTGGGAACTAAAGAACAAATCTGAGTTAAAGGAGTCATGAAAAATCAGAACGGAGATCAGAAATAATTTAAAAGGTACAACAAAGACACTTGAGGGAAGTCACTCAGGAGAAACAGATAATATAGCTATTTTAAGAGAATGTCTAAATTTCTAAGGGAGGGAGAAAAATTCCTCACGAGGTTTAGGGAGTCCAAAGTTTGGCTCGTAAAAAGACCATTTTGCTACTGTGTTTACCAAACTTGAAACACACCAAAAGAGATAACTAGAATACATTTATAAATTTCTGTGAATTCAACACCAGTCAGTCTGTTTGGATTCCAGAGCCTGGTTTGAAGGCTACGCTTTAGGATACCTGGAGGCCCCGATAAGCAGGCATCATGAACTACCTCTCTGGGTCATTTAGATTTAGGCCTGCTTATATGCAAGCATAAGATATAAAGTTGTCCCAAGACCATCCCAGCTCTGATTCTTCCTTTATGCGGTTTGCAAGAGGGTGTGAACATTTGCCAGAGAGAGAGAGAAGAAAAAGAAGAGAGAAAATGAAAAAGTACCCTGCATGAGGGATGGTCACTTTGCAATCCCATCTCCTCCATTTCTCTCTCCTATTGGGATTCTGCAAACACATGCACATGTGTCCCGAGTGTTTTCACAAGTTGCAGGTTTATGACTCAAACTGCTCTGTCAATCAAGTGAGATTCTGCTACCATAACCACCATGCCACAGGCTGGCCCCCAACTCTAATTTTATGAAGCAGCAATACCACATTGTTTTTTCTTGGATAAACCAGATCTCAAGCAATTTGGAAAGTATCTTAAAATTTTTCCCACTCTGCTGGGATCAACAGTACAGTGACAGTTAAGGTGCTAGACTCCCACATGGCCAACCACAGTTTGCATCTTGGATCCAGAAGCTTGAAAATCACACCAACGCATATGTGTGCATGCCCAAAATCCTGAGAGGAAAATGGAGAAAGGACTGCAATGTGGCCATACCCTCTGGGGGGTGATATTTCACGTTCTCTCTCTCTGGTGAGCACACATGCTCTGGCAAAAACAATTTAAGGTTAGAGTTAGGGCTAGGGTTTATCTGTATTTCTGGGACCACTGAAACTGGACTAATTCATAATGTCATTTTTTAAAAAAGAATTATTTTATTTTGTTTATTTTTTATTATTATTCAATTTGACCAGAGAGTGACAGAGAGAAAGTGAGAAGGCAAGCCACCAGGTCCAGGATTTGAACCAGAGTAGGCCACGGGAGAGTCTAGCACCTTAACCACCATGCCACCTGCTGGCCTCAATGTCATCTTTTTTTCTTGTTATATCTGTCTTCTGGGGAAAGTTGTTCTATTATAAGTTTATTACCTTTTATAAAGATTTTGGGACACGAAGAGATTGAGAAGGCAATCATGCAACTTCTGTTTACTTCCCTGCTGCTGAAAAAGCCAAGGTAGTTCGTCTGCACTTCTCCAAGTCACTCTGTCTTGACTATTGGAACAGGGGACACAATACCAATAGCACTGTCAACAGTGACATTGCTTCAAAAGGGCTTCAGACAAATATTAAAGGGAGAAGAATATATTCAACATGTATCTCTTGAAACTTTACTAATCAAACTATGAAAATAAATTCAGTGATATTCAGACTATTAACCAAATACTAGAGGTATTATTTTCTAAATTTGAAGTATTAAAAAAAAGAACCCTCAATGAACCCAAATAAAATACATAAATACGTGCACATATATTTTACACAATTTAACTGGAATAAAATTAATTCTGCATTGATTTCATTTAAGTTTAACTTTTAGCAAAATGTTAAATCATTGGCAGTCATAGCATTTTTCTAGGTTTTCCTATGCAAAAATGCATCATGACTTGCCCCAAAACCCAATATTAAAAGTTTTACTTACAAAATATTTTGTTTTACATTAACAGAATAATATTATTTCATCTTTTTGGTAATAAATTTTTATCCTTTAAGTTGTAAGACAAGAATGAGTGAGAACACAAAGATAGAGTTTTTTGGATAAACTGGGAGAACAACATGGATATTTACAATACCTTAGCTGCAAGGTGAAATAGTTGACTAGCTTCTGCCTATGTGAAGAAATGACAGTGGGATCTTCCATGTACTCGAGTCTCACTGTTTCCCATGCCTAGGGAGAAAGAGAAAAATTATTTCATTCTATTTGCTGTAAATCACTGTACTCAAACAATAAATTTGCAACAAAAAAGTACAATGATCTCAATAACTGTATAACAGAAATTACATTAGAATATTAAAATTCAGAATATATTTGTGTGATAAACTGATAACAGAATAAGAACTCCTCTTCTAGAGCCAGCATGGCATCACGGCAGTAGTGTACCACTCAGCAATGCTGGATCCATATCGAAGAGCAGGAGTCTGGTTCCGGGGTACCCCACACCCAGGTTCATGAGTATGCTTGTCTTCCTGGCCAGCTGGGAAGACTGGTAGGGAGGACTGAAGCATGAGACCCTGTTGAGGATGCTTGTCTTTCTTGCTTTGTCTCATTCTCATGGAGAAAACATAAATCAACTTTGGGAAAACAAAACCAAACAAAAACACCCGTTCTAATGTTTAAAAATCATAACACAATTTAACTCAAACAATTAATACATTAAGATATTAGAAATAGGAGGTGAAAAGTTACTGAAGAGTAAATCATATTCAAGCCATACACAATATAGGAAAAAGATGTCTGTGAAATTACAGTCACTTCACATCTACAAACATAATACGACGTATTCAAATGGAAGACTTCATTTGCATTTATGTACATGTGAAAGTCAACCATGGCATTGAAGATGAAAAGAATCGTATTAGTCAACAGCTCCTAAGGATTTACTACTATGTGCTAGACATCATGTTTAATACGGCACCAGGACTAACAATCATCTTAATTCATTTTCTTCATGATCCCAAGTTGAGATGTAAAAGTCTGCCTAAGGCTGAGAAAACTTGTCCAGGGATAGACAAATATTAAACAGGGAGAGGTGGATTGTGAAAAGGGGCTGACTACCCTACTGAGTCCAAGCTCTTAATACAAAGATAATATCCCTCTCATATCTTTTTTTGGTCTTTTCTAACTAGCTTTTTTTTCTTCTTAATTTTTAAAATGTTATTGTGATAAGTATACATAACATGAGATCTATCCTCTTAATACATTTTTAAGTATACAATTCAGCATTGTTAACTATAAAAACAAGATTGTATAGCAGCTCTTTAAAATTTATTCATCTTACAGGAATCAGTATTACTTTAAAAAGTGATCATTTAAAGTAACAGCTGCCTCAAAAAGGTAAGCGGTTTAGTCAGATTTTTTAGATCAAGTCTAAAGCATTGGGAAAAAAACCTATGAGGTCAAATTTAGACTTACATTTTGTCTAATAACTGAAACATCTAAAATAACATAGCATAATATACCAAGGAATGACAGAGTGACATTTTTAAGTAAAAAATCTTATGTAGATCTTAAAATAACATTTACCTGTAGATGCTGAAACCTGAGCAAACCACAACCGTAAGTCAACAAACACATCTTGTATAAACTGTGAATAAGTGAGATCAAGACAATCCAGGACATTTCAGGAAAGAGTTCCATCAGTTCTGATTCACTCACACCATTGTGACTAACATTGATGAGGCAAAGAATCTAGATAGGAAAAAAATTAACAATAATTATAAAGCACCTCTGTAGCCAAAATGATCAAAATTTACATAATTGGTTTACACTAATTAACTTTGGCTTAAGCTAATTAACAAATAACTTAATAAACCAACAAACAGATGTCTTAAAACATGTTGTCCGGGACCAGCAGTTAGCGTAACGGCTATGTCGCTGGACTCCCATGTAGTCGACCGCAGTTCTAGTCCCAGACCTGGTGACTTGAGACTCATGCCGGCCACGTGTGAGTGTCTGCCCAAGATCCCGAGAGGAGAATGGAGGAGAAGGGATTGTGGCATGGCCATCCTCCCGGGGAGGGGGGAGGGATTTCTCGCTTTCTGTCTCTCTGTCTGGCAAGTGCACGTACCCTATAGCAAAAACTTCTCAAAAAACAAAAACAAAAACACTATGTTGTCCAAAAGGCATTAACTGAAAATAAGATAGTGTACATATAAAATGTAGCACACTAAGGGAACACACATATAGAAAAAAGTTTATTGAAAATTTAAAGTGTAGGAAGTGTTGGGGCCAGCAGTTGGTGTAATGGTTACATTTCTAGAGTCCCACATAATCCACTGCAGCTCAATTCCTGGACCTGGCAGCTTAAAACACATGCCACATGCATATGCGTGCATGCCCAAAATCCCGAGAGGAGAATGGAAGTGAAGGAATTGCAGTGTGGCCATCTGCCCTAGAGGAGTGATTTCTCACTTTTTTGTCTCTCTGTTCTTAGTGAGTGCACATGTATAGCAAAAATCTCTCTAAAACAAAACAAACAAAAGTCTAGGAAATGTTATTGAAAATAATGACAAGAATTCCAATTATGAGAAGACAATGTAAGAAAATAGCATGCTTACTACAAACATTTATGACTATAAGACAGTATATACAAAATTTTAAAAAAGAATACTTTTAACAGCATAGTTGAGCTCACAAAATAGAAAGAAATTGTCAGATGCCAAAAATGAGTAAGAAACTGAAAAATCAGAGGGCTAAGTGCTGGAGCTGTTGCCCCTAGGGGAAGTGGAGATAGAGGGCAGGCAGAAGTTCCAATTACTTAAGGAGATGAAAGGAGATCCCTTAGCCACAGGAGGTAAGCAGTTCTAATTATCAATAGAATGTTTGCAAACACCAGGACCTTGAAAAGGCTGTACCCTCAGCAAAGGTGTGCATGAGAAAAACAATTGCTCACAGACATAGAGAAAGCTTATAGGGTTGGGGTGGGATAAGACAAAACTCCAGAAATCACAAAGGTGAAAAATTAACATAAACTAAATCCATGTTCAAACTCTTAAGAGTTCTGCAAGGTTGCTAGAAATAATAAATATAATATAAAATAAATATTAAATATTAAATATTAAATATTAAAAATCAAAACTGGGGGCCAGCAGTTGGCATAATGGCTATGTCGCTGGACTCCCACGTAGTCGACTGCGGTTCGAGTCCCGGACCCAAGTGGCTTATACTCACTCTGGGTGCATGTGCATGCATGCCCAAGATCCCGAGAGGAGAATGGAAGAGAAGGGATTGTGGCATGGCCATCCCCCCTGAGGGGTGATTTCTCACATTATATTATAATAAATTAATAATATGTGTCAAGGACTTTTTATGGGGAAGATAAAACATTATTGAAAGACATCTTCAAAAGATGACAAATAATGGAGAGTTATTTAGCTTTCCATGGAGGGAAAGATTTTTATGACAATTCTCCCTAATTTAATCTTTAAATTCAGTATGATTACAGTTAACATTCCAAAATGAGTTTCCATGAGTTTAAGCCAGCTCAAAAAACATATAAGGAAAATTAACCAAGATATGTTTGAAAAATAATAATAAAAGAGAATTTGCTCAACCAATTGTCAGAGCTTACTTTACAGTTCTAATAACTGAGATAATGTGATACTGGCAAAGAATAGAGAAAATTGGAACAGAAGAGCAAAAACACCTTGATACTGGAACTTGACTTTTGTCAGGTGGCATTACAGATCAGTAGAAATAATGTACTATTGAGCAAAAAGAACAATTCACTATATGACAAAAGATTTAAAACATAGATTCCTTCCTTATACAATACACAAAAATAAACCAACATTACTTAAGTACTTACACATGAGGAATAAAACTGTACATGGGGACCAGCAGTTAGCGTAATGGCTATGTCGCTGGACTCCCACGTAGTCGACCGCGGTTCGCATCCTGGACCGGGTGGCTTAAAACTCACGCCAGGCACGTGTGTGTGCGTGCCCAAGATCCCGAGAGGAGAATGGAGGAGAAGGGATTGCGGTGTGGCCATCCCCCCTGGGGGGTGATTTCTCACTTTCTGTCTGTCTCTCTCTCTGTCTGGCAAGCACATAAGCTCTATAGTAAAAACCTCTCAAAAAAAAAAAAAAAAAAAAACTGTACATGAACACTTCTATGATACCAGAGGAGTTTTTAAAGATACAACAGGCAGAAACCATGAAGGCAACTGTTGGATAAATTTGATCTCATGAAAATAAAACTTTGTATAATGAATAACACCATCGAGTAAAAAGACAAGAAACTGAGAAAATCCATTTGTTTCTATGTTCCCTAACAAATGACTTGTATCTAGTATGTAGAACATTTAAGAACTCTTACAGATCACTAAGAAAAAGATAAACAATGAAATTTTAAATGGGAAATTTTTAAAATTTGAACCAGTAATTCATATATGAGGAACCAAAGATAGCCAATAAACATGAAAAGATAGTAATGTTGATCAGAAAAATGCAAATTTCCACAAGCATATTATAGAAATTGGCATTCTTACATATGCCTGAAACATATTGAAGCACGATAAAAGAATTGTTTTATAAAAGAATTTGTATTCACCTCACACACACAAACAAGACAAACCAATCCTCCTTTTGTACGTTTATTGCACCATACCTGTTTCATTAGTTCTTTATCCACATCGTTTGCCATGGATTCCTGGATAGAGCGCAGAACAAGTCTATATAATGAGACAGTATCTTGACACTGGAAACATTGATGAAGGATTTTATCTAAATTGTCTATTCTCCCAGTGCTGTTGGGATTGAAAATAGATTTAATTTCTTACAGACTGCCAACATCTGTGAAAAATTTAGGGTGGATGAAAACAATGTGATCTCTATATTTTGTGCTGTAATTCGTAATAGGAATTCAATAAGAAATGATACAGGAAAATGGTAGTTTTACGGGCTGTTAGAGTAATTGAGTTCATTTTAGTATGTCGTTTAATTCAACTCAATAAACATACATTGAAATTACTAGATGTCAAGCAATGACTATGGATTAAGGAACATAAAAATGAGTAAGCCATGGTTCTTATCTGTCAGAAGCATGCCACCTTCATACAGGAAGGAAGTAATGATAAGTACTGTTAATTAGCCATGCAAAATTAAATCTGTGTAGAGTCACAGATTTTATTACATCAGGCAACTAAAAAAAATCAGTAAATACATCTTATTTACCAGTAGTTTCTTTTCAAAATATAAAGAAAAAATAAATAAATGGCCCTTAGTCCCTTTTAGAGTAGACATTTTCAATAAACATTATGAAATGTATAGAAAATGACTCATACTCTTGAATTGTACTTATTGGACTGCTGATGTTCATGGAGGCTTAAGACATTGCCACAGCTCTACAAGTGGGAAAGCTCGGTGGCAATATTATGGGCAATTTGAAGGTTTACAAGATTTTTTCATTTCAAATTTGGTGCTCAAGATGAGAATGTGGAACTAAGAGACAAGAGTACCAGATTCAGTATCTGGAAACAAGTTGTGCTAGGATTACTATCTATTGTGATATTAAAAAAAAAAAAAAGGATTAATCTTCTTTACCTCTGATAAAGAATAGACAAAGTAAAGTGAATCTATACTAAACTGGAAACGAAAGTAGTAAAATATCCTACTGGTTAAGAGTACATTAACAGGATAAGGCTGTACTGAAAAATACAGGTAGTGAAACTTGTTAATGCTCATCTAAATAAAGATTACCATGAATATCTAACACAGAGGAACTATTTTGCAATGAAAAGTTTCTCAGGAGTTCAGAACAGAGACAATTAAAAAATTCCTACCTACCAATATTCAAGGACAGCCGAAATAATATTCTTACACCTCAGGTGTTTAATCACTTTCCCAAAACTAGGGGCCCCAAGCAGGTGATAATGAACACTAATCAGTGGGCCCCAAGCGAGGGCAAAGATGGCCTTCTGTCACAATCCCCTAGTAGGAAAAGGGTTAGTGTGATGAAAATTAGACAACCCCATCAACAAGTTCTAGTTGTTCACAGGCTACTCAGTCTTCTGAGGTAAATCACATTCTCACGGAATGTTTGTATCACTTAGAACAAAGTCTGAGTGGCCCATGAGACATTGTATTATCAGTTCTGCATTTCAGAGGGTGAAGAAGGTATCTGCAGCAAACACAAGACATACAGAAGATCATATAAAGGAACCACCACTTACCATGCAACCATTTTGCTGAAAAGGGTGACATAAAGGGCATTGCAGGTGGTAGCAGAACGACAGTGTCGTTCAAGCTTCTTCTCCTGCACCAGTGCACCCAAATATAAAAAAAAAAAAAAAAAAATTGAACAAAATATAAAACCACCCTGGAATTAAGCAGTCTTTACTACCACCATCAGCAAATATCCCAGCAGCAGAAATAGCACAGTTCCTGAGATCTCATCAGTAACATTACATCGTCAGCCTTCAAACTGCAGACCACACACATATCCAATATGAAAATGCTTTTTTGCTTTTAAAATGCCTGCTTAAAATTATAAAGTAAATCTTAAAACCAAAACTTTGGTTTTTGGTTTTTTTTTTTTTTCCGTCTTTCATACCTGTCCGTTTAAGAGAAAAACGCATTTACCAAAGTAATTACTAGACTGCAATTTTACTTGTAACAACACAGCTCCTGTATTTAATTTTAAGTTTAATAAAAAATCTGAGGAGGGGGGCAACAGGTAGCATGGTGGTTAAGGTGCTAAATTCCAAATGGTCAACTCTGTGGTTCAAGTCTTGGACCCTGTGGCTTGAAATATGTACCAGGTGCATGTCCACACATTCCCCAAATCCCAGGAGGATAATGAAGGAGAAGGGATTGTAGTGTGACCATTCCCCCTAAGGAGGTATTTCTCACTTTCCTTCTTTCTCTGCACTCTCACTGTCTCTCTTTGGTGAGCACAGCATATATTCCATGGCAAAAAAAAAAAAAAATACACACACACAGATATATACAGATATATATACTTAGGTTTTCATTTTAGGGCTTATGGGCTCACTAGAGAAAGACAGAGAGAGAAGGAAAGTGAGCAATCACCCCCAGGGGGCATGGCCATGCTGAAATTCCTTTTTCTCTGTTCTCCTCTCAGGATTTTGGGCACACATGCACATATACTGGTGTATTTTTCAAGCCACAGTGTCTGAAACTCAAATTGTGCAGTCAGCCATGTGGGATCCAGTGCCTTAACTACCACACTACCTGCTGGCCTCTAATGAAAGATGTTTATAGGAAAGCTAATAGCCAACAATGGATAACAACAAAACTAAGCTTACCTGCTCTTTATTTAATTTAATGTCTACAGAGAGGCACTCTGCAATTATAATAGATTTTGCATCTGTTGAGTTTAAAGGATCAAGATGAAGGGTTGGCCATAACCTTTCATTTAAAGAGAAGAAAGAATTAAATTCTAATAATATAACGAGATCTGTAATCTACTGATAACACAAGTTAAAACTCATTATGAGAAATAATATTTTATATTGTCTTTATAAAATAAGCCAAATTAATCTCTGTTAATCATACTAAATAATACCAACTTATTTCAATCAAAAATGTGTATCAGTACCTTCATCAATTATTTACAACAAAGAGTATTATAAAGTAAACACAAATTCATTAGAAAACTAAATGATAGAACATTTCTACTCCTAAATTCTCTGCCATCAGCAAAATTAAATATAAGTACTAGTGACAAAAGGGAGAGGTGTAAGACACAATGTTTGACCACAATTCCTTATAGTGCAGCTGGAATGTAATGATTACTACATGCATTCTCAATGTAGTAGTGAAAAATCATTTCTTGGGGGAAAGAGGAAATTATTTTCGCATATATAAAATACAAATACACCACATATCGTTTTACATACATAAACTGAAATATGGTAATATATATGGCTATAAAATTTCTGGTGGGAGGAGCAACCAGAAAGAATGTCCAAAAATGCTCCTTAAAGGAGACAAAAAATAGGTTGAAACTCTTAGTTTGAAACTGCCCTAGGGAACTTAATTGCTGAACTCTTTTTTTGAGGACTGTTAAAGTGAACGTGCACTATAAGATAACAGGCGTCTATGCATTATTCCTGGCCTAGCCTTCTCTCCCTGTCTTCCTCACTCATGAAGTTAGCTGCCTATCTGACATCATTCCTTGGCAAAAATGGGTAACTCAAACTACCCATGTTCAAAAACCAAACTTGCCACCATTCCCCAAAAAATCTACCTGTCTTTTCCTATTTTCAGTTCATGAAACCATAGTTTACTTAATTTTTCAAGTCAGGAGTATTACTAGCTTGCTTTCCCTTAAATCTCAGAGCAGACCTAACCTTCTCCCAATTCTATAGATCGCATCCTCTCCTGGAACTTACCTACTTCTCCCCACCTTCAGTGCCACTTCTATAGAAAACATATAAAACAGCAAAGCATATCAATAACCTTTTCTCTGTTTGTACTTGAAACATCTAATAATCTAAACAAACAATATATTTAATTGACACAAAAATGAAGTTATTTATTGATGATAATGTATAGGGTGATGTCTTTGTCTTGCCTGAGATGCACTTTATTTGTTATGGGAAAAACCATGCTGTATACTGTAAAGGTGTGCAGTGAGTAAATGTAAATAATAAATATAAATAAATAAAAGAAAAAAAAAGAATTAAATATAGCATCCTACCTCCAGGCTGGCGGGCATGTTTCGACATTCACAGAAACAATGACTCGTACATTCACTGGCAGTGGATCTATTAGCCACTTCATGTGTTTTTCAACTTGCTTAAAAATATGAAAACAAAATTCAATCTACTATTAGCTAATAGCAGCTCCTCAAATACAATGAAATGCTAATAAAGTTTCCCTTTTTTATAATTAAGAATAAAAATCTTATTTTTGGATGATTTTTCTTAAAATTTTAAAGGAACAAGTGACTAAACATTTTACTCCCAATTTGAGTTCTGGACACTTAAGGAGATATCAAGGTCCTAACACTACATCGAAGCCAACAGTCTTTTCTTATCTGTGTAAGTTTAGTTGGTCTTTCCCAAAGGACACTAGTATTTACTGGTCTACAGTATTTTTTGTTCACATGATTTCTCCCTAGAAATTAAGCAGGTAGCATGGTAGTTAAGGCATCGGACTCCCACAGCTCAAGCCCAAGACCTGGATGCTTGAAAATTGTGGCGGGCATGTATTTGTGCATGCCCAAAATCCTAAGAGCGGTGAATGGAGGAGGGGGAATTGTGGTATGACCATTCCCATGGGGAGTGATTTTTCTCTCTCTCACTCTCCAGCAAGTGCACGTACCCTACAGCCAAAACTTAAAAAAAAAAAAAAAAAAAAAAAAAAAAAAAAGAAAGAAAAAAAAAAAAAAAAAAGA